ATGGAAAATAATAAAATTTTGGCCGAAAAAAAAAAAAAAAAAAAAAATTGTTTAGGCCCGCCCAAAGCTCGAATATCCCTGGGCCTGGGCTTAGGTCTGGGCCTAGTTTTTTGGCGGGAGCCCACAAAGCCCGACATGGGCCCGGCCCGAGCCCGAATGGGCCGGGCCGGGCCGGGCCAAAATTACACCCCTAGAGAAAGGGTTTGGGTTGGGATGGCTGAGAATAATTTTGATTTTAGGGCAAATTTCACTTTGCTTCTTGTAATTCAGTCTATGTGCAGATTATCCTATCGTATTTGGAAATAATCATCATGTAATTTATGAACTAAAGTGCACCTTTAACCTTGTTAACGATTTAATAAAAAGACTTAAATACCCCTATATATAAATAATTTAAATGTCTGAACTACAACTATTTTGCCATTTGTTTAGAAAACAAAACACATTTTAAACTCTTCTGTTTTATTCTATCTATAATTTAACCCTTTATGTTTGACACGTATTTCAAGTTAAACGGAATGTTTAATTATACAAACCACAATAGTTATTTTCAAATGAAAATGAGATAATCCGTATATGAATAACAGTATAAAATCATAAAGTAAAATTTACTCTTAAATTTACAGAGTTAAAAAAATAAAGTTTAATATTAACTGCACTCGCCCACAACTCAATAAGTAAATACATATATATATATATATATATTTTTTTTTTTTCTAATTACATTGTCTTTATTTTAGAGTCCTGGCAATTCATGTTTTGACCACGGTACCTTTGTTACAAAGTTTAATTGAGCTCTTAAAGGACAGCTTGAGAAATAAAAAAAAAAAAGGGGGGTTTTTGTATTTTTTTTAGGTGAAAACACTTTCGGAGGAAAACATTTTCAAAAAACAAGCTCTGCAAAAAACGTTTTCTATGTTTTGTTACAAATTTGATTTTGGTAACATTGATGTATAGGACACGAGAAGGGCCAAACAGTTTCTTTTGTTTCATTTGTACTGTAAAGAAATCAAAATCTACTTCATAGTACGACGATGCACCCCAAGTAACAGTCATTCAAGAATGTAAGTAACTTCCTTATTTCTCCTTTCCAAAACATATATGAAAAAGATGAGTAGTCTAAAATATAATCCAAGAAACAATGAGAAAACACCATTCGGCCACAGGGAAAGCTAATACCTGAAAGCCACAATACTTTTTGGAAAGCCTCCGGAGCAGCAGGTCATGTTTGCAATACTCATCACGTTGGGAGCATAGTAAAAAGCCACGTTTTTAGACAAAATGTCCAAAACCGTGGCTGCCAAAAATGCAACAAAATCCCTTTGAGAAATGCCAAAAACGCAGCCTTAAAATTACAAATTAAGGCCTATGAAAAAAAAATAAAAAAATAAATCTCTTATGTTGGGTAAGGGTATTTTGGTCATTTTAATTTGATTTGACACCATAAATAAATATTAAAGTAAAAAGCAAAAAGCCAGCTTTTTACCAACTTTCCAAATCACTTCCAAAAAAGCCAAAAAGCTTCGTAAAAAGTAAAAAGTCAAAAGTCAACTTTTTACCAACTTTCCAAAACAACTCACAATCTAATAAGCTACTCGTCACCCCCCACCCAAAAAAAAGAAAAAAAATTTAAAAAAAAATTCTAATAATTATGATGATAATGAGGGCATATCCATATCCATATCCATCTCATCCATCTCGTCACTATCACTGTCTGCCACAGCCGAATGACTCTTTATAGTACTTCAAGAACTTAGCAGTAAATTGTCCATATCCCATAGCTACAGGAGAAAGGATATAAATAGTTGAGAGAATTCTATCAGTCATGGAAAAAACCCTACAGCCACTACAGAAGGGAGAGAAAGATCTACATACCTTCAATGTATGATCCATGTGAAATACTGCCCAGAAGCTTTTTGCCATGAGAAAATGCTGCAAAACCAATCGAACAACTGAATAAGAAATGGTCCAACTTCAGAAGGGACAGCAGCATCAAATAACAATGTGGCGAAAATATATATATATTTATATATTTGCCAATGAGATGGCATATGTATCTAGAACTGTAGGTACAAGGGTCAATCTCCACCAAGTGGCTACGCCACATCATCTCCACATTGGCGGGCAGGAGGCACCACATGCTGACCTCATGAGCCAACGCACAGTCCAATGACACACTGCCACATGAGCACCTCCAAATGAGCCAACAGGCCAAGGGCAATTGCACATGGTGCCTGATCACCAACAACCACTCAGCCACCCCAATCAGTCCACCAAATGGCCTCCTAAGTTACCACTCAGCATCCTCAACTAGTCTACACCAATCAGTCTCCAATCAGTCTCCACTTGTTTCCCCGATTGTTCCATACCAATTGGTCACCATGACAACCACTCGGCCTCCTCAATTGATAAACAATCGAACAACCCCCATTCAACTGTCATCAATTGGTTAAGCAACCGTTAAGCTACTATACTCAGTATTCACCAACCGAGTGAATGATTGACAAACAATATATACTGCGAGCAGGTCTCCAACTTACACTTGATTCAAAGTGTTAACCTAGGCTAAGAGCATGGACTCAGACATCCACTTAGGACCAATGGAGAACTTGTGGCTTGGAGGCTAGAGTCAAGGGATCATCAGGGTTGATCGACCCACCCCTTTGTGAAGGCTCCACCTTAACTAGTCTTAAGAGAGGTGCTCTATGACCAAGACGTGATATCTCAGATAACATATCATATCTACTCCTGCAGACTTGGGATACAATTTCCAATGCTCATCATACCAACCCACTGCAACCTCAATGATTCATCTTCCAAGACCTAACTATGGTGCATTGGGAAGTTGGGGAACTTCAGATTGTCAAACCAAGAGAGTTGTGCCACGTGTCTATAGGTGAATTGTCCTTCATGTTTTTGTTCTCCTATAATGGGGATCATCCCCATGCATGCAAGCACTAGCAAGCTTCAACTGTCCTTTGGCAAGCTCAAAAGAATGCTCCACTGCCACCCTCTCTGTGCAAGACTGCCTTGTCTCTCCTCCTCCATCTCTGAGGGTACCTTGCCAGCTCATTGCCTATCACCTTTCCAAATCCATCTCAAGTACCTCCACCGTCCACAATAAACATTCGTGCACCCATAAACCATAGCTAATAATTTCGTGAAATAAGGGACCATGGCAGATGATACAAACCGGTGACTACACCAAGTTCATTTAGGAATACAATTTATGGATGAGACTACAAAACCACATATATTTACTTTTCTGCAAGTCCAAGTGACATTTGTAGGCAGAGTAACTGTTCAAAAATAAAGAAAGATGTTTACAAGTAACTTGCTAGAAAGTCATACCAAGACGCTCAACAGGATATTCTGAATGTTCTGCAATTGGCTGGATTATTCTGTTGGGTAATATGCCTACAAGGCTAAATACAGGGGGGGGGAAAAAACACAGATATTAGGAACTACCCAAAAAATAAAAAAAACAGAGCGAAAGAGGGGTATGATAGATTCAATGAACAAATACAATTTATCCCTCTAGAGAAAGTCTCTTGCCTGATGAGTCCATTCTCAGATCCGCTAATAACTCTGTCTTCATCAAGCTAACACAAGAAAAGCAAGCCTTTAGTTTTCAGTTGGAATGAAATACCAACTAATTTGAAAAAGCCAATAAGGTTAAGACACTAACTTTCAACAAGGCATCTACAGAATTTGGGGATAGATCGACATAGCGATCACTGAAAAACAAAAAGGAACATTCCACAGCAAGAAAATTAAGACTTGAGACATTGAAAGCGTAAAATTCCTACTGAATCAAATGTTCCCCTACTGTGGACATAAAAACAAAAAGGAACAGTCCTTGAAAAATCCCCACAAATACAATAGTAGAGTTCCAGTTTGTGTCCCACATATAACTTTTCGACCGTTCTGATCACAAGAAAGTAATAGTCAGCATTGCAAAACTCAAACACATGAAATAGAAAAATAGGAGAAATTAAAGCAAAAGAAATAGTAATTCATATAGAACTGTCCCCAGCAGACAAATCAGGCTTCTAAAATGCAAAAATTAATCTATATTTGCTGAGAACATGTTTTGCACCAGAACATGTTCAGTAGGAATGGAATAAAAGCAAGGATTAACAGTCACAACACTCAGCAGGTTTAGCACCAGGAAAAGAAAAACTGTGAAGATGGCACACTGCCTTGATACCACATCTAATGTTTGTAGGCATATTACATGTGCAATAATGTTCACAGCAAACTGTCTGCTTAAACATCATGTGCAATGCATGTGCCAGTGATGTGCACAAAACATACATTTTAATGCAATGGGGACATTAAGAAAGATAATATAAAAGGAATGCATTTCATACATAGATAAATTCTACCTTCATGATTATGACAGAAAGCAGCTCATCTTCAGAAAATTCAGAGCAAGCTGAAATTAGTGTATAGAAGATGAATCAACTAATGAAGCAAGAATTAATTGACAGAAAATGTCAAGAAGCACAATATATCTTGGGTCAAACAAATAAAGCAGTAGAGCATTCCAATGAATATACCTTATTGCTCCGAAGGTTGCAAACAGATTAGGGATGCCAATATTAACCCGGCCCGACAGGGACCCGACCGCCCCGTCCCAATAAATAGATTTTTTCCCCAAAATTATTCCCCGTAAGGCCGGGGCTGGTATTAAAAAATACATCCCCGATGATTTTCGGGCCGGGAACGGAGATTAATTTCCCGGCCCCGGCCCCGCCCAGAAATTTTCCCGAAGCTTCCCCGCATATATTATATACTACCTATTAGTTGTATTATAATTATATATTTCTCTCTCATCTCACTCTTTCATTCTCTGACTCTCATCTCACTCTCTCAACTCTCTGTGTCTCTCGTTCTTCTCCCTCACTCTCTCTTCTCTCTCTGTCAACTCTCTCTCTCACAGTCACCGACATGGTGACACCACCACCACCGCTAGCCCTGACCCCCCCTCTCTCTCTCTCCACTTCGTCTCTCTCTATTCCTCATGGCCACCGCCACCGCCACCACCACCGAACCCACCGCCACAACCAGCCACCGTAGATCTCGCGCCTGGTCACTGGCATCGCTCAAATCTGTTAGATCTGAACTCAGATCTGTTATCTCTCTCTCTCTCTCTCTCTCTGTGTGTATGTGTGTGTGTGTGTGTGATCTGATATGTGTCCTCAAATCTGTCTCTCTGGTATTGTTGTTGAAATCAAATTTTTTTTTCCAGAATAATTTTTTTTTTAAAATATAAATCTGTGTGTGATCTGATCTGTGTACACATATTGATTTATTGATGATGATGAAACATATTGTTGTTAGAAACTGATTTTTTTTTTCAGATTAATTTTTTTTTAATTTAAATCTGTTTGTGGTCTGATTTGTGTTATTGTGTACATATTGATTTGTTGATGATGACAAAACATAGTGATATATATTGATTTGTTGTTGTGTTGAACAAAATTCAAAAAAAAGCTCGGGAATTTTTAGGGGACGGGGACGGAGAGTTGATGGGTTTCCCCGCCAGGGATTGGGAGCGGGGACGGAGATTTTTGAGCCTTTGGGGATCGGGAACGGGGAGTGTAGTCTCCGGCCCCGCCCCGGCCCGTTGCCATTCCTAAACCAGATAGAGACCCATCTCCACTTAGCAATGTCACAGAAAATAAGAACAACATTGTTGAATAAAATAAATATGATGAAGTCTTTCATCAAGAAAGAAAAGTAAATAAATGAACAAAAGATTTTGTTTCTAAGTAAAATGGGTGATTAATAATATAGTTTTTGAGGTTGTGGTTAATAGTTTCTCTCCCTGGATTAACTCTTGGCTCCATCACTGCTAGCAAATTAATGCTGCATTTGGTTGGAGGACTTGGGGAGGGATTTAGAAAGGGAAAGGGAAAAGGTGTGTGAAACTATGTGAAATTTAGGTATATTTCATTCTCATTTCACCTACCTTTTCCATTTTCCTTTCCAAATCCCTCCTCAAATCTCCCAACCAAACACAGTATAAAGGTCTACAAATATTATCCTATGACAAATTTCATGATCAAGTCCTCACATATAGCCAGAGCACAATGACATGGAATTTCTCAATGGGAGAAACAGAAAGAGCGGGGGATAGAGAGATCTTGTCAATAAGACTTGTCAACGACTGGATGTCTGCGTTGCAAAATCAACACTTTTTACACAAGTATATACTATGGGGGTGTTTGGGAACCCAAGTTTGATGTTAAAATAGCCTCAAACACTAAAAAAACTAAATAGACTCATATTTTTTCCTAAACCAATGATTTATATTTTAAAAAATAAAAATAAAAATAAAAAAAGCAGCCGGCAGTGGGGCGTGACAGCTTAGTCCCACAGGCGGAAATGACAATTTTGTCCCTTTAGACCAATTTTGGAATAAGTGAAGTTAGGGACAAATTTGTCATTTCAGCCTCAAACATCATTTCAAACACATTTTTCAATACAACAACTCAAATAAAAATCTATCCTATCTTTCCAAACACAAAAATTAAAATAGCCTACTAAAATAGTAAAAAAGCCTAAAAAATAGTTACTTTCCAAACACTCACTATATTAGTATATTGTAGCAAAATCCATCAAAAAAACAAACAAAAAAAATTGAAGCTTCTTTACGAGCACTCCTATATAAGCACTATCTGTCTAAGAAACAATATAACACAACCATGGTAAGGGAATTGTGTGGAATATGTGACATACACATCTATCTATTAGTGGACACTCCAAAATGGTAGCATCCAGCACAGGAAGAAAGAAGATATGCCAACTTTATTTGACATTCCATATCCTTCTGATCTATTTCACCTGGAACGTAAATCATTCCGATATGAAAAATAGGAACAAAAACATGGGAATGCCACATGCTCTAAATGTAGTACGCTAGGGGCAGGGTTGTAAAGATCAAGCTACTAGAATTTAAGAGACTACTAAATATGATGGCAATTATAATTTAATAGTTATACATCCAATAAAATTTAGTTATAAATTAATTATGTAAAAATACAATTCTAGAAACATTATGGCCTTTGTTTTATATGTTGTCATTCAAAAATCCATTCCCTAGATTTTAGTTCATTATATTTGATTTTTTTCCCTCCTATAGAAAATTTTTAATGAAATATATAGGAAATAATTTGGAATTACTAAATTTTTCGTTTTGGTAAGAACGTGTATTAAGTACCTTGTTCCCAATAGTCTCATGGAATCGAATGCAAAAGTCATATCAGAAATGTATTCTTCATGAGCATTGAAAGAGTTGCTGCAAGTACGCTGTCTGGTATCCCAAACCTGCATTAAAGTGAGAAATAATGAATAGAAGAATAATGCAAACTCATCATACTGCCAAAAGAAGTTCCCTTGGTCTGACCTTGGGGTCACATGAGACTGGAGCTGCTATTAAAATTCAGATTTAAGCTTCTCTGGTTCTTCAAAAATTGTAGAAACATTATTGTAAACATTTCAAGTACAATCATGGAACACCCTCAAGGGAAAAAAAATGGTGTCATTTTCATTCTCATAATTGTAGAAGCATTAAGCTCATTAATTTAACTTTATGCTGAAGTTGACATGAAATTACAAAATAATGAGAAACATAAAAAATAAAACCCTGGTATAAAATGACTACACCATCAAAATGTTGCTTAACATGGGATGCATATTTAAACTAAAATATGACTTAGGCTGGTATAAAATTCCATCATGAGAGAATTTTTATTTTCAAAGGGAGAATTGACAGTTACAAAACTGCTTTTCAATGGTATTGTAGTTTGGGAGTACCAGAAACACTAAATATATTATCATTCACATTGACCATGTAAAACTGAACACTATAGAAGCCATATTACTTGCTTGTTCACCAACAAGCAAGTTGCCAATGGATCCAAAGTTTGGGATACTGTGAAAGTAGATTACTACACTTTCATCACTAGGAATGCACATTTGAATCCTGCTCTAAACCTTCAACCATAATAACATGGACTGTGATAATATTCTCTTCGGAAGAATTTACATGGATTGTGATAATAGCACACTAACAGGTGAAGTTATGCTTACAGCGTAGTCTTTCTACAGCTGAAATGTTTACAGTCAAAGAGAGAAATTTAACCCAAAAAAAAGTACAAGTATGTATATGTATATAAGAAAGGATACCTTAATGCACCCTTCACCGTCACCAGATGCAATGGTTGACTCTGTCAAGTTAGTTATTCGATTGACAGCAGCCCTGCACATGAACACCATCACTTGTCAATTTTTCCAAGTACCACAAAACCAAACGCAAATTTATTTTTTTTTTCTCATTTTTTAAATAACTAGTTGCCAAAGCGAAAACTACTACTACAGTTTTCGACAGTGATGAACCCAAATAATCCCTGAGAAAAAAAAACACAAAAGTAGCATAATTTAGCATTTAAAAACCCACCCATGAGAGTTTTCAAGGCGAGCAATTGCAGATCCTGTCTCAACATCCGTGGCAAGAATGGAGCAATCCGGTGAACCCGTGACAATTCCTAAGCACCCGTCCGTGTTTACCAACCAAAAAAAAAACAACTCAAGACACTTTTCATCAATTAAAAAAACAAAAGGGCAAAACACGCTGCCCCCTGAGGTTTAAAGATAATACAGAAAGTCCCACAAGTTTGGCATAATTACATTGGGTCCCTTACCTTACCGTAACCCCTTTTCATCAAAAACTTGTTAGTCATACGGATTTAAATTGAAATGTAAATTTTACTATGTTTATCTGTGTGTCTTCACACAATCTACATTAGTTCCACTCAATTAGAAGGAAAAGTGGTGTAAATTATGTCAAAACAGTGGGGTTGGGTTGTTGTATTTTCTGTAAATCTCAGGGGAGATCAGCATAATTTTGCACTAAACAAAAGTAAGTAGCTAAAAAATGCATTACCACGACCCTCGTTGATGAATCGAACAGCTCTGCAAGATTCGCTATGGGCATGGGCTTCCAAAAGCCTACAGTTACAGTGGTCGTAATCGAACATAACTTAAGCACAACTTTCTCACAACTAGTGATTCTATTTCTAGGGTTTGCATGTATATAGCTGAATTAGAATAACACAAACCAAGATAAATTTAGATATATCATTATGTACCTCTGTGGTGGTGAATCGGCGGCGTATTGGTATCTAAAACGCATAAAATCGAATTGATTAGAGAATTTTTATTTTTTTTATTTTCATTTTTATTTTTATTTTTTTTAATAATAGGGATGATGGAAAATTATAGGAAGAAGTTAACTTACAGAAGAAGGTGACCGGTGATTAGGCCAGCAGTGACGAGAGGGTTCGAAGGATGAAAATCGATATCGAATGGAAGCTTCCCCATATCAATCTCCATTTGAACAACACTACTGCTGTGATTGTCCACTTCAATGGAATACGAAATAACTAAGAATCGATCAAAAAAACAATTTAATATATATATATAAATATAAATATGTGCATAAATATGTGCGAGCGCTTGCTTACTTCGGGCTGCTGAAAGCGGAGAGCAGCTTAAACACCAAGCAATGCCATAATACCCCCTAAAAATCGCGGTTTTTAGTCATGTGTGCGCGGTTTTTGTTATTTTTTATTCATCTATGTATTAATCTATTATTGAATGCAAATTTTAGGGGTTGTTTGGGATGATCTAAATAAGTGTACTTTTTGACATTTTATGAAATATGTGTTGGGTTTGGGTTGATGTGTTAGAGAGGTGATGTGACTTAAATAAGAAGATGTGACTTAAATAGGATAGTGACTTTTTGACTTTTTGTCTTTTTCAAGACATGCCAAACTTGTTTTTATTTATTTATATTCTATCTAATTCATATTATTTTTTTATATTCTAATAAGTTTTATGAGTGATATAATTATCAAAATATTCCTAATAATATTTACATTTACAGTGTGAATGTTTCGTAATGTGAATGTTCGTACCATTAATGTGAATGTTCACACTATTGATGTGAAATTCACACATCAATGTCAATATTCACATTGTAAAACATGAATGTTTACATTACCAAATTGCTAACCATTCAAAAAATATTTGTAAGGGTAGAAATCTCTATAAAATACTTTAAATATGAGAATTAAGATTTGGTAGATCAAAAGTTCAAATAATAAGACTTATTGAAATACAAAAATATCTTATGAATTAATTGGGATGCAAACAGTTGAAAAATAATTTTCTAATAAATTTTCCTTAAAAAAATTATACTATATGCACTTTTTATTATGTGTTTTTTTTTAATTATAATTATTTTTAAAAATTATTACTCATGAATATTTTAATTATATCTCATGTTTTGTTTAGTTGTGACGTTTTTCCTTTTTTTAGTTATGATTTAGAAAAATAAAGTTATGCCAATTTATATTTTTTTTAGTTATAAGATGTATATGGTGCACACCTTTTAAAGGATGTGTATCATTATTCAATCATTATTTTTTAGGGAAAGCCTATGTGCATTCACTAAGACCATCTCTAATGGTTCATCAAATTTAAATTTGATGAAAACTCATTTTTTACTACTCCAACCTAGCACCAAATCTTTCATCAAATTCAAAATTTCTCAAATCTTTCATCAAATTGATGATGAAGGTGCCTTTTATCAAATCACTATTCATAACTATTGGATTTTCACCACCGGATGACCACTTCAAGACAAAAATTTATGAAAAATTACATTGGCCGGTCAACTAACCAGACATCCGCCCAGCCGACTGGTGTTCTGATAAAACTTTAAAAATTTCCGTTTGAGCACTTGATATCAAATGGAGCTTTTACGCAAATTTTTACTGAAATTTGATAGAAAAAAAAAAAAAAAAAAAAAGGTATACCATTAGAGATGCTCTAAATGTGCATATCATATGCGCCCTATAACAAATTGATATAATTTTATTATAAAAAATTTTAACATCAATAAAAAAAATACGTAATCTTGCTACAAATTAACATAATAAAATATTTAAAATTTTGTAACTGATATTACAAAAGCTTATGGGTTGCTTACAATATTTTTTATTATACTAATTTGTAATGAGATTACTTATTTTATAATTGATGTTGCGAAATTTGGTGATAAATTTATGTTAACTTGTGATAGGGTGCACATAAACTTTCACTATTCCATATACTTGCCTCAAATGGATAAGGACTATAAAATATAATCATAATGTTTGGTTAAGTTTTTAAATTTTAAATTTTATTCAAAAATAAATAAAAATATAAATCATTTATTAAAAGAATTAAAATAACACTAATCATTTTCATATGATTTTCTCCTTTAGAGCTAAAATATTTTTGAACATTTAAAAAAAAAAGAGACTTTAAGTTTTTTAATGAAGCAGAAAAGTGAATTTGAGGCTGTCAAACAGCCGCACGTACGGGACTCCCTCCGCACGTGCGCCTTCAGGTGCTTTTATTCCAGAATTGCATCTTTCTCTCCCCCTGTTTTTCGCGCGTGCGCCAGTGCCTCATGCACGTACGGGCTCCCTAGCCGCACGTGCAGTTCTGGGTGTTCCAGAACCGAATTTTTGCTCTATTTTTGGGGTTCCAAATTCCTCAAAATCAAACCCAAAATCAATCAAATTAAAAGTCAAAAATTAGCAAACATCGTGTACAAACAATTTCCAAGGTCATAGATCTTCAAATTCAACTCAAGTTTCCCCAAACTCATACACAACTTCATGGTTAAAGAAAACAAAATCCTATGCATATAATAATCCTATATTTCAACAAAATTTTGGATATCTAAGTTAAAAGCATGGAAGATCAAAAAATCAAGCTTAAATTATACTATTCGTGCCATGGACTGCCCAACCACAACAATTTCAAAAGTCTAAATTCCGGATAGTCCAATGTGATGGACTTAATTATTTATAATAAAGTGTGATTTTTTTTTAATGCATTAATAAATTTAAAAATATTTATTATTTTTCCTCAACATTTTTTAAACATATTGATAATTTTTATAAAAAGAAAAAAAAAGAAAAAAGAAAAAGAAAAAAAGAGAGAGAGTAGAACTTAATAGAATCGGCCGGTATGTTTTCCATTTAAAAATGACTTCAATGTGAGTTTCCTTTGGGCCAATCTCAGCAAGCTTATATACAGATGGCACAAACCCACAGGCCCACACACAAACTCCACAAAAAACAAATAGTAATGCTATAGACCACTAATTTGTCATCACTAACCCCATCACTAGTGAGGTGGAAATTGAAAAAAAATAAAAAAAAAAGATAAAAAAATAAAGGCATAAATACACTGTGATAGTGGGTGGGACCCACTGTCACATCATTAGAGCTACCACTAATTAGTGGTCTAAGGCATTTTCTAAAAGCAAAAGAACAAATAAGCATATAGTTTTGATTGGGGAAATGGAGTGGACTGTAATCAAGCGGGAACAAATGACCGTGGTACATAGGGCGGTGCATAATACCATTAAAATCGTCAAAATCGCATCGAATTGTTTTGAATCGCGCATTTTTCTAACTTTGGCGGACGGGTTGGGGACGTGAGAGCCCCAACAATATCGAGTCGGCACGGGTAGCGGTTGGAAAATGGCAACCCGCCCATGTAACCGACCCAACCCGACATGCCCTTACATAATTTAGACAAATTCTGCTATATACACATGATCCAGCAAGTTACATCTCAACCATTAGATTACATCTATCATACCAAATGTAAATATACTCACACACACAATATTTTCTCAATTAAACCTAATTGACAACCGAATATCTCATCTCATTTATTGGGGGTGTTTGTTTTAGCTTTTCAGAGCCAACTTATGACTTTTAGTTTTGAAAAAGTTATTTTGGACTGTTTGGTTAAACTTATTTCAAACAGCTTCTGATTCTAAGAGCTTATTTTAACTCAAAAAAGCTGATTCTGAGAAGCTGCTCACCCCTTACTTCTGATTATCAGCTTCTGCTGTGGACATGTTAATTTATGATTATACTCTTAAATTTTTTTATTTTTTATTTTTTTAAAAAGAGAAAAAGACTCAAATGGACTATAGATTATTATTATTATTTTTTATGAGAAATGTAGACAAACAAAAAATAAAAATTAATTGAAAAAGTTATTTCACAGCTTATTTAACAAACGCTACTCAGCAACTTAAATCTATAATCCAACAGCTATACCAAACAGATTAACAACTTCTGATTAAAGTCATAATCTATAATCTGTTAAGCTATAATCTATAAGCTGTTTTACACCAAACGAGGCCATTATCGTCGCTGGTCTGAGGGCTCTTATCTTGTTCTTATTCCTTACCTTACGACCTTACGATCGGCGTTGCTATAGCCTTGTTGTCACCACCGCTTCACTCACCATCGCTACTCTCCGCGCACTGCCAATGCTCTCTGCTCACCACCGTTGCTTTCTCCTTACTGTCGCTGTTTTCTTCTCGCCGATCGATACATGCCTTTTTGTTTTCCCTCTCTCTCTCTCTCTCCCTCTCACTCACTCTCTTCTGCAGTGCTAATCTCCTTTATCTCTCTTTGTTAATCAGCAAATGTCGATATGCTTTTTATCTCTCTCTCTTAAATAAACAATATATCTTTAATGCTCTCCATCTCTCCGTGCCTTTTTGTTTAATTTTTTTTATTTCAAACCCATATCGATAGTTTTTATTTGGGATTCACAACTAGACATGTTACTCTCATAAATTTATATGAATTTATGTAGATTAGCTTTAGAATTTATGTTCCTCTCATCTCAGTTATTGTTAGACAAATAATTAAATCAACTACTTAAAGAGCAAAAACACAATCCCTTCTCATCATCATTATAAATTTTTTATGTTACTCTCATCATCATTGTAATTTTTTTATTTTGTTTAATGTTTAACATTATATTAGATGGATATTTTAATTTTGACTATTTTAGTTAATTTATAAAATAGATTTTTTTTACTCTTTGATTCAAGTTTTGTAATTTGAACTATATTTTTTTATAAACCGCCAATCCGTCCGAACCGTTAAGGCAAATCCGCCATTATTTGCCAACTGAACCGCAGATTTTTGGTAAGAAAAATGACAATTTCTAATGACACTTTTATCAATCTACCACCCGCCGTACAATTTTTAATTTTCTCCTAAACCGCACCGACCCGTACCGTACACTCCCCTAGTGGCAAATCGCAGGTGGTTGGTATAGTGGATGACTATTGGAGCCTAGAGATTTGGCTTTTTCAGGTCTCATGTTCAAATCCCTTAATCAACAAATGTATATTTTGGGGCCACGGATCACAAGACGTAAGCCCTGTTTCAAAAAGTTTGTTCAGATTATAAGAACTTAATCTAGGACACGATAACTGGTCTAGAATACCCCACATAACTTAAAAATAAATAAATAAATAAATAAAACGACGACAATGGCATAGCGTGGTCCCTCTCTCTCTCTGTCACTGACAATAATCAGGACTGAGGCGAGAGGGAGTAGAGAGACGGCTCATACAGTGCACGTGACCTCCCCACACGATAGAAGCTTCATCCAACAAATACACCTAACTTAAGGAGAATTTATTCGGTGTTCCTGTAATAATGATCTAAATTGATATGGTATT